GTGTTAATAACGCTTTCAAACTGACAGCCCTAAAATATAAATATATATATATATATATATATATATATATATATATATATATATATGCGCATCAATCTGGTATGTATATGATATACTTTATTCTGTATGTCTGTTCACTGATGTCTCTCTGTTGCAGCTGGAGATGGAAGATGAGGACACTATTGATGTATTTCAGCAGCAAACGGGAGGAGTCTACTGAATGGTGTTGGTGTAATGTCAGCTTATGTTGTATTGTTTATTTCTACAATTTTAAATTTTGTTTCTTTTTATCTTTCTGTGCTTGGCTTAATGTCAGGCTAATGTGTATGGCACACATTCTAGGGGCCGTCCTGACCCCGAAAATGATGCAGGGGAGCCCTTTTAAAAGTGTTTTATTCTCTGAGAAACTATTTAACAATTGTCTGAAGCTCTGAAGTATTGTGGGGGTGGGGGGAGGGGGGTAGAATCCTAAGCTTCATTGCCTTATTCTGTGTTCCAATTTATCAGCATTTAGATATAAATCTGGCTCAATTGTTTTGATTGACATACTGATTTGGCTTGTGTGTGAATCGGAGCCAGATTCTGATCTCTGGTAGCGTTTTTTTTTTCTTTTTTAGATCCTGTTTAAGTATCTACAGGATGAATTCTTGATCAAAGATGGGGTTAAATATCTGTATTATATTTAAACAAAATCTGAAGTTTGTTGAATGGTTTGCTGGACCAAAAGTGTGTCTCTAAGAGTTGTAGATCTAGAAGTTACTGTAGATTGTTGGTTTGTTCGTCCTACAGGTGAGAAACCATTTCCTTGATTTAAAATTGACTTCTTCATATCTACCAAAACCTTTTTAGAATACGGAAAAACTCTTCACCATTTTTGGTCCATTACTGACATCTGTAAGCGTATAAAGTCATGCAAACGGTCATAAATTTGTAGATTTCATCACATTTTTTTTTTTTTTTATAATCTTCTCTGGTGTTCCAAATGTAACTTTTAAGATCTACCAGGGACATTGACTTTTCTTCCTAATTTGTACATTATTTGTTGTCCCTATCTGTAAACAATAAATATAGTTTGATACCTCTTGAATCATTTGACTGCTGTTAATTTGTGGGTATTAAAATTGATATTTTTAGATTGTTAAATTGTCTGCTGTATGTTGGGGATCAGAGTTTAAGCCATTTAAAATTTTATTTGCATTTTTCTTTTCCTTTGTTACTCTTAATTATTTTATCAGATATAAAAAGTACAAAATATATTTTTGGGGGAATAAAAGCCACCCATAACAACATGGCTATATGTGCCAAAACATACAAAACAGTGGTTTATAACTACAGATTTGCTTTTAGATCGCCTCATTTCTAACCTACTTTTCTTTGCATGTTTTTAATTCAGTAAAATTTACTGTAGGTCAAACATCTTCATATTTTAATATACAATATATTAAATTAGTTCTAAAACCTGCCTTATTGTTTAATATCATTTAGTGGTGGACCTGCTGCTCAGTTTTGGATTTTTGTTCTGCAAATTCCAAATGAGCTTTGATTTAACCCACAATCAGACACTTTAAAATGCTTTTTTTTCTGATATAAAGCAGGAGTTGGGTTAATAGAACTGTCTGAGCTCCAGACAGTCAATCTACCATCATATCTGCTGAGGAGAGGTTCATCTGAAATCCTTTTTGCTTTCTTTTCTTGCTCCGTATGTTCCCAGGGGCCTTGCCCTTCAGTTCTCCCATGGATGCCATTTTTGGAGAGTTTTATTATTAAGCCATGAAGACTGACCTTAACCAAGCCAAGTAGGACTGGTGGTGCTTTTCCTCTTGTGGGTTCTTTGGGAGTCTCCACAAAGAGATTATTGCTCTCACTTCAGTTCTAGAGCATGGCTTAGAAAACTTTAAGACTGAGAGTAGAGATGATTTAACTTGATTTTTGACTCTTTAGATCAGCTTTTGGAGGTATTTTACCCACTTAATGTTGGACATCTACACTCAACAAAAATATAAATACAACACAATATCACCATTTCCCTCATATATGGTTCACAAATCAATCTAAATATGTGATATTGAGCACTTTTTTGCTGAGATAACCTGTCCCACCTCACAGGTGTGCCATGTCAAGATGCTCATTAGACACCATGATTAGTGCACAGGTGTGCCTTTGACTGCCCACAATAAAAGGCCACTGAAAGGTGCAGTTTTATCACACAGCACAATGGCAAAGATGTTGCATGATTTTAGGGAGTGTACAATTGTCATGCTGACAGCAGGAATGTCAACCAGAGCTGTTGCTTGTGTAATGAATATTCATTTATCTACCATAAAGGTCTCCAAAGGTGTTTCAGGGAATATGGCAGTACAAGCAACTGGCCTCACAATCGCAGACCATGTGTCACCACACCAGCCCAGGACTTCTACATCCAGCATGTTCACCTCCAAGATCGTCTGAGACCTGCCACTCGGATAGCTGCTGAAACAATCGGTTTACATAACCAAAGAATTTCTGCACAAACTATCCGAAACCGTCTCAGGGTAGCTCATCTGCATGCTTGTCGCTCTCATCAGGGTCTCCACCTGACTCCAGTTCTTCGTGGTAACCGACTAGAATGGGCAAATGCTCACATTTGCTGGCGTTTGGCACTTTGCAGAGGAATTCTATTCACATATGAGGGAAACGTTTTAGGTCTTTGAGTTAATCTCCTAAACAATGGGTGCAAAATCAAAAGTGTAGCATTTATATTTTTGTTGAGTTTATTCAGGTTCAGTGATCTAAAATGTTAAAAGTGTATGAAAAAAAGCTAGAAAACCAAAAAGGGAATGGTATAAATATTTATAACAAAATAATTACAGAGCCAGCAATAAATATCTTCTTTTTTATGTTTCATCTCAAAAGCATTGTGGATATCATGCCTTCACAAATTAAGGTTTTGGGAAGTTTAACAGCTTTACTTGCAATCAAACCAAGGAATTACATTTGTTATCTGATGATTAGATTTAGTCAAGAACAATATCTTATGTTATTCCAGTTATTCTACAGGATTATCTATTTTGAACCTTTATTTTTTAATAAACATGGATTACTGCAATTAAATTTTTTGTTTCTCAGAAAATTTTTCCATCAAATAAAAAACAACAGATTTTTAATACTGAACTGATTTTGGTATAATAATGGGGAAGGCAACTTGAAAACCCTAAACTAGCCAGGTAAGCCACAAAGACTGCTGTAAATGAGGTTGACTGTTAAAATTATTTGTTATAAAAGATTATTATACTTTTTGCTTTTTTTTGCTGAATGAAAAGAAAAATTA